AAAAAAAAAAAAAAAAGAGTCGCACACTGAGCCATAAACAAACTGTTCAAAGTCAAAACCAAAATTTTCAGCACCTCAGGAGACAACAGGCTCATAACATACAAGACACTTAGTACCAGAGGATTTTCAGCATAAATTTAAAGGCCAATTAAAGTATTTGAATGAAAAAAAAAAAAAAGGCCCACCAAAGAATTCTACATTTGGCAAGAATATCCCGCAAAAATAAGAGAAAAATCAAGTCACTTTCCTATAAGCAAAAGCTAAGAAATCCGGCATCACTGAATCTGTCTTACAATGGAATGCTGAGTCCTCTGAGTTGAATGAAATGAAGAGATGACAGAGAAGAACCTCACGCCAAATATAAAGTTCAGCTAGGCACATGGCACACTGGAGGGAGGAGAGGCAAAAGGGTCAACATGGTAAGACAAGCCCGGACAACTCGGTGAGGCTCGCTCCCAAACTTTTAAAAAATGGTTTGGGGATGGAGTTCACTGCAAACTCTCTAGGTTCAATCTTACAAAAAACAGTAGTGCAAACAAACAAACAAACAAACAAACACAAAAAAAACCAAACCAAAAAAACTCCAGAAAAGATTTTGAAAGACAAAAATAATTACAAATCTATAAATCCATTTTACTAGCAACAAGATGTAATTTGGGACTTCAATAACAAAGAGAGGGAAAAGAGCTATAAAACAGTAATATTTTTAATGCAATCTAAGATAAACTGGTATAAATTTAAGATAGATCATTATAACATTCAGATTTTATATTAATTTCCAGGGTAATCACAAACAAGGTATTTATGGAGTATCAACAAAGAGACATGAAGAAGGAAATTAAAACATTACTAGGGAAAAAACAAAAATCAACTAATCACAAAGCCAGGCAGTAGGGAAGAAATATAAGACCAAATAAGGGCACAAGATATGGAAAACAAAAACAGGCCCACTTGGGGATGTACCTCAGCTGCACAGCACCTGCCTGGCAAGCATGAGGTCATGAGTTCAATTTCCAGCACAAAAAAAAAAAAAAAAAAAAGCTGGTGTGGTGGCATACACCCGTAATCCCAGCACTCAAGAGGCTGAGGTGGGAGGATCACTTCAAGTTCGAGATCAGTCAAGACTACAAAATGAGCTCCAGGAGTTTCCTGCTACCCTGCGCCGGCAGGACCAGTCCCAGCCCAGGCGCAGCGTGGGCCAGACCTTCTCCCACCCCCTTGGGCCGCCCCACACCACTCTGCCTTACCTCTCCACCCCTCCTGCCCAGTAGGAAATTCTGCCGACTTCCGGGAATTCCCAGACCCAGTCCTAGTTCAGGTCCGGTGAGTGTGTGGAGAGCTTCCTGCTACCCTGCGCTGGCGGACCAGTCCCAGCCAGGAGGCAGCGTGGGCCGGACCCTCTCCCACCCCCTCCGGCGCCCCCC